CCTGGGAACGCACTGAAACACTACTGCTGTAGTGGTTGAAAGCTGACCCTTTGCTCATTTTGTGTATCGAACTATAACAGCAATCGCAAGGAAGTGAGATCCCTCATATAAGCCATTTTCATTTTAGTAAAAATGTGAAAAACATGGAGTTTTGATATTGAGGAATCTGTGAATTACGTGATTGCACCATGACTAGGTATCATTGGATTAGAGAAATTAGAGACTGGAAGTCGTTTGCTTGCCGTCCACACTGAGATCTGTTGAGATCGTGCGTCCATGTTTCAGATCTGTACTGTGAAGACGAAATGCCCGTGGAAAATATGGGTCCTGAAGAACTAGTAATATACGGTTGCATCCACGTCCTCATAAAAAATGGGTGCTAAAACTTCTACACTGTCACGTATGATCAGCCGCTCATATATTCCAAAATATTTTCCATATTTGATTTTTCGTTGTTCAGGCATGCAATGGTGTCATCCGTTCAAATTTCTCGACCAGAAGCACTCATGAAGACATACGTGGTATTTACACGTTTGGACGCCATGGATATTCTAGGAATCTTCTTCCTCATGTGAAATGGATTTTTGCTATCAGCAAATTAATCTTTAGCATCGGCAAGAAGCGGGAGTCGTGACACAAAGGCGCGCAGCTGCAGGAAGCAAGTTATTTTAGGTCTAATCGAAAGACCTCATTAGCCCTTGGGGGATTCCTCGCACCCTGGAGGATTTCCCCGCGATACTTAAGCAGGGAGAAATCGAAAGGAGCTTCTCATTCAGGCGTCTTGGAGTTAGTCGGAGCCTGAGATTCCCCTGAATACTTGCACCGTATCCCCCTTATTCATGCATGCATGTAAAGAAAGACGCCTGGAAAATAATTCAGAATAGAATAGAGAAGAAGAAGCTAGGCTCTCGAGAAGTAACAGGAGCTACGGACACATTCATAATTCAACTGCAGCTCTTCCGAGGCTCCTGCAGGTGTTGTCATGTATTATATACTGACAGAGATGACGGGAGCTGTCAAACCTTGTGCCATTTGCCATCGTCGTCACAACGAGTTCAGAGCGATGAGAGGGAAAAGAACGCGTACCATATTCAATCAAAAAGCACAGAAGAGCACTCAGGTTAGGAAGGTGCATTAGCGCAGGAACATTAAGAAGAAGGTTTCAGACGAGATTTCTCCCGAGAGAGTTCCTCTTTGCATTGTCGATCTTGCAAGCTTGTACTTTTCATAAGACCGGCAAAGGCATTGTTCATTTCTTGGCTTTGTAATCCGATTAATTGCAGTCTGTTTCCCATCACCCCTGTGAGATATGTTATTTAAATAGTCCTGCAATTTCCTCCACTTTTCATAAACGATAGTCTTTCTGTACGACGGACGGAAAGGCGAACTTGTTCCGCTTTCATGGCCGGGTCATGGAGGCAGGAAGCCATCACTCATCATTCTCCCGGATTCAATCCATTCTGGAGAATATTTGAGAACCGATTTGAAGTTCCATTACGTCTCGCTAAATTTTTATAACGACAATTTTGTAAAACTTAGGATATTTCGAATATTTTGTTACTCCTGCCTTCGATTAGTTTACCTTGAATTGACACCTTTATCTTCATTAAAAGTCGGGGTCAGGATTATAAGTGGAAAAAAAACTACAGTACAGGGTGTCCAAAAAAAATGTATACACACTTTGATTGCTAATTACTTCTATGTTTAATTTCATAAATTCAATTTTATAATTTTATAATGAAGAAAAAATGTGAGAAAAAATTATGCATTAACGCAACGCTGCTCAAATGTAAGTCTGGGATTTTGCATTATTACAACCAACTTGCAACTGAAAAAGAGAAAAGGTTACTGAGTTATGGGTTGATGAAGTGTGTATACATTTTTTTTGGACACCCTGTATATTGAATTTGTTTAGTACGAGGAGCAGCTGGGACTTTAAATAATAACCAAGCATTGTGAATCAATGATGGAAGAAGTTAGACAGTAACAGGACCTGCAATTAGACTTTTGCGAAACGAGTCGACAGGGAGTACTTGTTTCCGTCGAAAAAATACGGAACCTGTCAAACCCTACATTATACTTCTTTGTTTCATAAGCGAGCAGGGAAGTTCGGAAGCCAGTTTAAAATCCCGGTTGGAAGCAGCTACAATTTGAAACTGGTAAGCAGGTATATATTAGACAGGTTGAACGAACTAGAACTCAAATTGATACTATCTGGGAAAGGCTCCCATTTTGTAATCTGCAGAATGATTGGCTGTCAGTCTGGAAACAGATATCAGTTCCATAGGATAGGTAGCTGGTTGATGGATGTGAGCAACTAGTATTGATCTTTTAACCCAAACCTACCGGGGGAAGTTTCTTGGACTTCTCGCCGATTTTTAATGCGCTTTGCTCTGCCCGTTTGGCAACCAAGGACCTCCGCAGTTTTTATTTCATTTTCCTATCTAATATCGACGTTTTGAACATTTTAACATTTTGAACATAACTATAACATCTGGAAAAATAAAATAAAATGTAACAGAATAATAGTTTTATACTACTTTTAATACAACGGTCAAATTGACCACTCTGGTAGTTCTAGTGTTAAACAGATGTCACGTCCAGCTGGTAACCAGCCTGGGGAGTAGACAATTCTGAGAAGCCTGAAATTAGTTTGGGAACATGTTGCATGCAACCGGGATGCAGCAGGAACGCAGCTGGAACATAAGATCGATTTCACCTTTTGGACAAATTGCCTCACCGCCTTCGATCACATATACTAGTCCACGAATATATACCAGTCCTAGATTGCCCACGAATATCGTGGGCAATCTAGATAGCACCTTTGGATCGGGAATTCAAGGCATGAAATACTGTAGAATAATCAGAAGGGTATACACGTATAAAGGATCTGTATTATACGCTTATTCTTTATTTGAGTATTTTTCCACGAAGTTTCCATTCACCTATTGTGTTTTAACTCATTGTGTTATGTTGAATTCTAGGACATTCTGCACTATTTAAAGCATTTTTAGGCATTTACATGCTTTCGAAACATTTTAAACACAAGTGGAAATTTTAAATTAACTTGTTGATGATTTGGCAATTTTCAGGAAACCACCACTTCTTGTAGAGTCGATTGACACCTGACTGACCTCTCTGTTCACTTTTCTTTCTCTAGGAATATAGGAATATCAGTATATATGGGAATATCTGGGAATTTTAGTTCTCTGGGAATAAATGTGATAGGTGCCTATTATATATGTAGATGAGTGAAGTGAGCTCCTTTCTCAAAATTGCTCCATATTCTCTCAAGAGACACATTATCTATGCTTTCCAGAATTCTAATATTCTGGATAATGAGGCGACAGGACAAGAGCTATATACTCCGCTCCCTTTTCTATCTGATAATTTCACCCCCCTTGAGGTAAATATTCAATTTATAAGCAGCGAGTGCCTCGGCTGCACATTAACAGCAGCTCTGACTCCTCCTTCCACACAACTTTCCCTTACAAATTTCGGTTCGTGTTTTCCATTCCGCAACATAGATGATGCTGCTAATAAATTGAAAATTTACCTCTGCGGGGTAGAACACGTACGTAGTTTTTATCAAAATATGTCAATATGTCATTCAATTCCATTCCATAGAGGGAATGAAAGTGAAACTACAGGCAAAAACCATCGGTACTACGTAAATAAATGTTCTCTTCTTGATATCTCTTGATATTCTTGGTAGGATGGCGTGTAGAATAGGTGCGACAGAATAACTTAGATGAATCGACGGGATTCATGTGATTGCGGAGGGGATGTCTTCTTTCCAGTTCATTTGAACCCACTTCTCACTTTGGTTCATCTTTTCTGCTATTCGGCGTTTGACGATGAAGCTGACCCCAGCATTACGTGCCTCCCCCCATGCAATCGCACGAATCCGACCGATCCGTCTAAGTTCTTCAGTATTTCCTATTTACATAGCATCCCACTAAGGATGATACTGCAAAAAAAAAAGAGGAAAGAGATTAACGCAGTGTCAATGATTTTTGCCTATCGTTTCTGGTTTGGCCTGCGGTGGGGGAGGGGAGGGGGAAAATCGTTATCATCCTCTGTAGTAGCTGGGATTGTTTACGTCTGGTGCACAGCAGGATCCAATTGTATGCTCTGTACTTGGAAAATGTCACATCTCCATTCGGAGTTTATACAAGCCGAAGTGTTACTGCAAGACTAATCTAATACGTGAAGCATCCACGGAGAGGCGTCAGAAAGAATATGAATTTCTCCTCAAGCTGAATAGGTTTCAGTTGCTTTTGCATTCAGGGTTAAACGAACGAAACCATCGCATGTTCAGCAGAGCGGTCATTTCATTCTCTAGCTGCTAGATCGATGTTTGCTTCTTACCTTCAACGTTTTCTCCTGAACATATTCGGCTAAGATGGTAACCTGACTCCACATGGTGCTGAAATTCACGTTGACTCGGTTTGACAAAAACCAGGATTCCTGCCTGGTCCTTAAACCCTTGGTTCAAATAAATATGACTACCATCGTCCCAGCTTCGCAGATCAGAAGAGACCTGTGCGAAAAAGCTCCGAAACGTGTGTATTTTCAAGTCATTTGTGCTCAGACCTGCACACATTTATGCATGAAGTAATTATAGATGTAAATGGCCATTTCCAGATCCGGCTCTTCAGCTGAGAGACAACTTCATGCTGCTTTTCTCTAGCTATGATTTCCAGCTGTTTTATTGCACTGAAGAGGGTCAGCATTTAGAGTCGTAAAAGAATTTGCATCTGCTTCGATAGCTCGACTCCAGGCTGAAACAACTAGTGAAATCGATCTGATCCTGAACTGACGTTACTCCCAGCCTGTATTCAGCTTGCTTTTATTTTTTTTTTAGCCGTTTCCGGGCTGGCTATGAAGTAAAATTAGCGGTCCAGGTGGAATCGACTAACAAAACCAGCCTTAATCCAAGAGGAAATTTCCAGCCTACACTTAAAGCAGGATTAGGTCTTTTGTTTTTTAATGCTCACCGGCGTTGACAGTGACGGCTTCGACGAATTGTTCCTTCCAGGAGGAGGTACCGACGACGAGGGAAGCATTCGCCCTCTTCAACAGCTTGTCCACCGTGTTCTACAAACACGAAAATCAGAGTACCTTCAGTCAATCAGAGATATGGGAAGAAACGCGGATAAGACGAAGTTGGGCGCGGGAACAGCATGGGCTTATGGAGAAGGAAATACGGCATATAGGCCCCCTGTACTCGTAGATAAGAATGCGGACCCTTTCATAGAGGCACAAGAGTAACTCTGTATATCGTCACTCCAATTCCAAAGTCAACAAAGTGAAAATGTTCCATTTTTGAGTCGAGCACACCTCTGAACTTGCCAGGCTGCGATCTTTCCTATGCCAGAATCGCCAATCTGCTGATTCCTTGTATTGCACTTGCACTCACGGATTATTGTATCACTGATCTGCCTCAGATGATTTTTTTACAAAGCCTTCTGTAAACTTCGTCTAGCTCTCCTGCACGACAAAGGAAATGCACTTTGGTTACTCTGGAATTGGAGCTACGATATGCAGACGGAGTGGGAAAAAAGCCGAGGCCTTGGGCAGAGAAGAGGTCTTGGACAGTTCGTGGACTCTTAATGGACTCTTAAGAATGGTCCCCATCAACTCCTCATGATTCTAACCATTCGCTATATGTATACTGCCCACTTCCACAATAACATGAATCCACAAAGAAGCAAGTAGAGTTTGCTTCTTTAAAATGCCATTCTAGAGACCCGTCTGTTACGAGGGCAAATCTAAGATTTGCTCTAAAAAAAAATTGCTTACTGTCAGAAGGGGAACGAGGATGCGGATGGGCTGAAAATCAACATGCAATGCCCGTCTCGGTCACATCTCATTTATCCAGCGAAGAGATAGCGAGAGACAGCTAATTTCAATTTATGAGAAGAGGGGAGAGGAGGTAATTGAATGAGAGAAGCCGAATAGATGGGGAGACACGCAAGACTTCCCACATCTCCTCTGCACCCACATTATCAGGGAAGAAAAAAGAACAGATTCCTTTACAAGCATGACCTACTCTCCAGAACTTAATTCCGAGAGGTCTATTTGAAAATGTCCGTATTGCGTAACGCTTAGTATTACCACTTATGGGGTGCTATGTCAATTTAAAGAACAGACATCATCGGCGCTGTAATTTCCTGAAGCAATCATGTTTCATCATATTTTGTGCCAAAGTACGAGGTGTGGCTATTATGTTTCCAGACTGGTTTTATTGCTGAACTTTGAGAGAGAGGAGGGGAGTGGGGCTATGGCAGTAACTTGGAGGGGAGTCTTAGCTTAGAGCTGGGCAAGTTTCAGTGTGGTCTGACCAGCGCGCTGCGAGCTGCGGCCAGTTAAGGTAGACCGTATTTGTTTGCGCTGGCGGATTTGAAATGGAGCATAATCTCGAGCAGAGAACTAACGTCAAATTTTGTGTTAAACTGGGAAAATCCGCAACTGAAACGCTCGAAATGTTAAGAAAAGTTTATGGTGATCATACTATGTCAAGAGCGCAAGTTTTTTTGTGGCATAAAAGGTTTAAAGAGGGAAGAGAAGACGTCAATGACGACCAGCGTTGTGGAGCGCCAATCACCAAACGAACACCTGAAAATGTCTCAAAAGTTACGGATTTAGTGCGTTCAGACAGGCGGTTGACAATTAGAATGATAGCAGAAGAGTTGAATTTAGATAAAGAAACTGTTCGACGGATTTTGAAGGATGATTTGAGCATGAGAAAGGTGACAGCGAAAATGGTGCCTCGGTTGCTGACAGCTGAACAAAAACAAAGGCGATTGGACGTTTGTTTGGATCTCTCAGAAAGAGCTGGAGAAGGAAATATTTTGGAGAGAATCATCACTGGAGATGAGACATGGTGTTATCAATATGATCCGGAAACGAAACGTCAATCCCTTGAATGGAGAACTGCAAATTCACCGAGACAGAAAAAAGCCCGAATGTCGAAGTCGAAAATCAAGACGATGCTGATTTGTTTTTTTGATGTCAACGGAATCGTCCACTCCGAATTCGTGCCAGAAGGACAAACAGTCAACCAGATGTTGTACCAGAACGTTTTGAAGAGGTTGCGTGAGGCTGTGAGGAGGAAAAGGGGCGATCTGTGGAAGGAGAACTCGTGGATCTTGCATCACGATAACGCGCCGGCTCACACAGCCCTGTCTGTCCGAGAGTTTTTGGCCGCCAAACGGATCACTGAAATGGATCACCCGCCGTATTCGCCCGATTTAGCCCCCAGTGACTTTTGGCTGTTTCCCAAACTCAAAAATTTTTTGAAAGGCCATCGATTTCAAAGCATTGAAGACATTCAAACAAATGTGATGCAGGCTCTGAAAGACATCCCGAAAGAAGCATTCCACCGCTGTTTCCAGCAATTGCAGCATCGTTGGGATAAGTGTATACGTTCTGGAGGGGAGTACTTTGAAGGCGATGAATGTGATTAATTTGTAAGTTTAAAAGTAAAAAATACAAAAATAAAGTCTGGAAACTTAATAGCCACACCTCGTATAGGGAACATGAGGCAAGTTTCACATAGCTACGTATTCATAGTATTAATAAATAGCGAAAAGAATCGGGCGGAAGCATGATGGGGACAACTTCTGTAATGATCAAATTTTTGTTTCAACAAGCCTCCTTTCCTCGATAAAGAAATTAGCGTTCTCACCAAGGTTACTTGGTTCTCATGCAATCGTGCGAATGTCTGTCTGTGTGTCAATTCCAACTTTTGCCAGCTTTTACGGGAACGTAATGTCACAACATGAAAGAAAACTCCACCCAAGACCTGTTCCGGCCATTTCACGACCCATGAACACATGAAGATTAAGTGTCTGAGTTGCAAGGACGTATTGCATTTATTCCCCCCAAACGTGCTGAAATTGGCAACCTGGGCTTGGTTGGCTGAGTGCGTTCGATTGCGTATTTGAACCCAGTTCAGCAATGGAATTTGCACACCGTAGTTTCTTGTCCATTCTATGTCAGTCCTTTTAGTTGGAAACTGTTTTGAGTAATTAGAGTAATTAGGTTCGTCTAGAGGTTGATAAATCGACCACTAGACGACCACTGCAAATGCCAATGATGGTTGGAGGAGGGCACCTCAGATATCGCTTCGCATCGAAACATTTTGACTTGAGAAGCTGAATTGAAGGGCTAGTGAAGCAAGACTCCAATTTCATATACCTTACTGCCTTTCTCGGGGGAAATTGCTGACAAGTTCCCCCATTTGAGTGTGACTTGCAGTGAAGCAACAAAGTGTGCACTTATTTTGGCCGGTTTACCTGGTCTATTAGAATTCCTAGTCGTCTCATGTGAAAAATCTGAATGCATAGTTTCGGAGTTAAGTTTCGTAAAATGTAGCATCCTTGGGGGGGATTCACGTCTTGGGAACAAGGAATGAGCCGGAATGAGAGCAGATCACTTAGTGAAAGGGCGAAAGCACAGCAAACACGGGGTCTAAGAAAACATGCAGTTGACCGAAGTAATTGAGGGTGTGGGAACGGTGACAGATTTCACCTGATTTACGGCCAGAAGTGAAGCGAAATCTCTGACCTTGAATTCCTTGCTTTCCTTGACGCGAATCTGGGCCCGAATCACTTCCCCGAGCCGAGGTTTCCCCAAAGCCGCTACTTTTGCTTCCTCTACTGACAACTCCGATAAAGGGCGAAGACTCAGCTGCTCGTCTGCAATAGGACAAAGGCATATTCTAAAGCTTTATTGCCTGTTTCGACCCAGGAATGAAGAATCAAGAACTGGATATGTTCATGCATCTTATCGCGATCCACTCATCTTCATCTTGGCTTCAGGCTTGTGGTAAGTTCGCTTTCTTCCAAACAAAGCCATCTATTCCACATGAATCGTGAAGATAACAGCAATGTCTAAACTTCGATTAATGGTATTCATCAGAAGTGAAAGGGTTCAATAGGGACTGATACCATTGCTGGCTTTCTCGATAGAGAGTGAGCATGGCCTTGGATGACGTAGACTCGGATCAATCTCGCAGGATGTCACTGGCACTTTCTTCGGGCATTCAATGTAAGGATTCTGAGAACGGACGTTTTCGCTGCATGGAGAACGCGCTGGTAGCTGGAGATACCGATCGAAAAAGTCTTCCGGTCACGTGACTATGTACGACTGTCCTCATCCTACTCATGAATGAATGGGTCTTTCAGTCACGCGAATACTTTTTTTTTCCACTAGGACGTGTGCGTTGCGTGTCCCAACCTTACCTTTTTCTATCTTCTTTTCCTTGAATTCTTAATGCAACGGGCATTTGTTCCTCCGGTTGGCTTCCAATTCCTCTTTTAAAAGAACACAGCACGCGGAGTAGGTCTCCTCGTTGGATGGAGACAACCTCGAAGGGAGACCATGACCCTAAAGGCTGAACTAAAGAGACGAACCATGGAGACATTCATCAAAACTGTGCCATAGGCTTTAAAGTTCCTTCATTTGGAAGTTTGCAGAGGATTTGATAGTTGAGCTTAATTGGATTTCCTCCACTGTTCACTTTGACGGGCATGCCCTTGAAGATTCGGCGAAGAGCAAAGAAACTTACAATTCGTGAATTTCAGTGTCCAAAAGAGATCATACGGGGGTGTTCTCAAGGATGTGAAGCACAAGGGAAGAGAAATGTGCATTCGGCATGATCAAACAGAAAGGTATCAATTCCGTCCATTGACGCTGTGACCGTGTGGTTTCTCGTTTTGACCCAACTCGCATCATGTGTCAAATTCATTTATGGTCTCCGTCATGTCTGTACCACAACCCCTTCACGATTCTCAAATTTATATCCCTCTATTTGGAATGTTGTTTTGAAAACCCTGTCGACGTTGTTGATGCAGGGAAAGGGCGTTGAGCTTTTCATCTTTGAAGATTTCAATGTTCGGCTGGGAATTTGCAAGAAATACATCTGGGAACGGAGGTAGGCTTACCTCAACGTGGATTTTTAAAAAATTACTGTCGAATCCCAATGTCCTCGTTGATCTCTTAACAGAATCGTTAACTGTCGTCTTGAATGTATTGATAGTTCTCTAGATCCAAAACGGGAATTTACATTCGAAGCAGAGCAAGGATCAAGCGCAGTTGATGGTGTAACTGCTTCCCTAGTCCTCATCAGTGTTTTTTATTCATACTAAACCAGAGAACTTCTCGATCATTTGCACCGATTCACGCCACAAAACTGGAAGCCGACCGTCAGAACCCATCCTTCATTTGCGCGAAGAAAAATTGCACACCCACACCTCTCAGTTCCAATCATACCCGATGAATAACTGCTAGCACAGCAGTTAATGAAAGCGGACGTCCACATAAAATGCTTATCCTATGAGAAGCAGGAAAGCACGAGGTCTAAAGGTTGTTTCACACTTTGCGCGTCATGCGAAATTTGGGTCGATGCTGGGGCAGGCAGGCAGACGCATGTGTGCACACGCATGAGCCATTGAGCTCATCCCAATTCCGCGCACAAGCCTTGCGTTTTGCGAAAACCCTTGAATGTAAGTGGACACGGGTCACGTGTATACATGCGTGCATCTGCCAACCTGCTCGAGCAATGACGCAAAGGAGGCATGACATGCATGGTGTGAAACGCCCTTAATGAAAATTACGTCACTGGGAAAATTATTTACTTCTTTATAGTTTTGAATGAGAGGAGAATGAACTTCAATTTGTCCTAGGTTGGAAACAAGAGCTGACTGCTTTAATGTATTGGATAAGGTTTTATCTCCGCTGAGATTAAAGACATACTGCTGCGGAGCGTACTCTAGTGGCTTACTTCAGGCTCAGTCTTTGGGGGAAAATCTGGAAAGGGTGTTGAGTTATATGGAAGTCGTGTTTCAAGCTTTGCCAGGACTATACATTTATATTTAATATATAATTTAATGACAATGAAGGATGAGGCTGATAAAAACTCATTCTTGAATGGTCGATGAACGCTTCCGTACCATTCTTCGCACGTTTCTGCCCAGGGGATGGTTGTTTAGCCCACAATAGGGTGTCAAATTTAGGAGAATACTTTCTTTTTTCTCCATCTGAACTGATCCATCAACAGATACCAAGACCTTGAAGGACGCTCTGACTAGATCCCAGCTTTTCCCTGAGAGAATGGAATGCAGTCTTTTTTTAGTAATGAGATCACTTTCCACTTTAATAGTGCAGCGGGGATTCAGCAACCCTGCAAAAGGCGCCTCGAGCAATTGTTATCTAGATATCATATCATATGGGGCATGGGATATGATATCATGATATAATTGTTCCCATCGTTGAAGTTCAGCCAAAGTTTGAAGTAAAAGATCCCATGGTCATCATGAAATTGTACATGTTCGAAGAATCACTCTTTGTTTTTCTGCTATATCGACTCACCGATGGAAATAATTGGTAAGTTCATTCCGATCATACAGAAATTCTGTGACATGAGTTGTGTAACACGAGACAAACCTTTGGATAACGCTGAGGAAGTGGGCATTTTACTGTTTGTAGAATGGAATGAAAAGTGAAAGGTCAAAGCGCACATTCACTACCCCTGCCTCTCTATGCAGGCGCTCTCACGTGTGTAATGATGCTCGTTTGACTCGAAGCGAGGAGAGCGGTCGAACTCCATGGACCTGAACTGTTTGCACCTGCGAGACTTTCAATAATTCAACCTCTATCGAACTGCTCCATTTCTACCTCCATTAGGCTGAGTGGAAGGAGGGGCAAGACCCGACGAAAAGGAAAATGTCTCTTTCCATGCATTCCATCGATTATCACTTTTCATCACGACAGAGGCTTTCGTGCTCTTAGCCAAGCCGGCCATGTGAGGACATGCATGTTCATTTTTTTTGCAGGAAGAACAAGGGAGATGGCTCACCCAGGATCTGATGTGGCGTTTCCAATTCCACATAGAAGAGAACGTCTTTTTCATAGCTGTCTTCCTCCACGATCTGCAGCTCGATCTCTTTCCTGCAACAGGGACATCGTCAATCAATGGATCAAGTGCAGCATTGTTCTTATTTTTCGCAGGTTCTCCTGCGTCCCCTTCGACCCAGACCCTCACACGATCCTATCCATGAGAAAAGTGAGACAAAAGACAGGAAGGCCCAGAGACGTCATCTCATGAAAAATGTTCACGTGTCTGCGTCCACTCATGACTGTCGACTATTTACAGCACGTCACTTCCTTTCTACCTTCCGTACTTCCTTCCCTTTATCCTGAGATGTCGTGCTACATTGAAGAAAGGTCAAGTTTATATCATCTGATATAAAGAAGATAGAAATGCATAAGCGAGGACTAGCGTGGGACCTATAAGCACATAGTTGCATGCACTCTATTTCTCAGTTGATGAGTGAGAACGCAGTCAACTTAGTGGGAGCGAAGTGATTTCGCAAAACCATGATCAACATTCAACTGTGGAGCAACAGCATAATCCTAACCTCATTACTTTCATATTGGGGGCCGCCTCGACGAAGGCTTTTGTCCAGTAACCTATTTGTAGATATTGGCAAAATTAAACACTGGTTGTCCGGGTAAATTCAGTAACTTGTTACACCAAGAATACTTCCTCGTAAATGAATGGAATAATACACATTTTCCCGAATGAAGTTATTTGCACATAAATGAAGCTTTCTGGTACAAATGACTTTAATTTGATGGCAATAGGACATAACCTCTACCGCTCTTAAGCCCTCGATGTATTCGTGGCTACAGCTGGACAGGAGTTTTCTGGGCTTTGCTTGTCCTCTATTAAAATAGATTTCCTCTCGAACGATGGTGCACCAATGAGCCTGGATTCCACACTCTAATAACCAACCAAGGTGATACGGACTCTTGCTAGGTAAATCAGTGCAGAAACAAGAAATCACCTCTTCTCTACACAGTCGTTGGCTGTTCGGGTCAATTGAATTACGGATGACAGAAAATCGATGCATAGGAAAAGATAGGAATCGATGTGTGAATTCATCAATTAGATTGGAATCGATTCATTCATTCATCAACTGGATTGAAACTGATGCATGCCATTGCATTACGAAGATCACGCCAGAAGTTGCAACATCAAAATCAGGCAGGATCGAGGGATAAGGAAAGTAGGCCATAGGCAATGGAAATATTTGCGATAGAGACTATTTAACTGTTGTATTTCTCCGGTGTTTGAAATACTTTTGTTCGCGACACTTTCCCCCTCTTCTTTGCTGCTCTGGAAAGTCAACGCTCCCGCTGAGCAAGGGTTAAGGAGATGCCGAGTATCAGGGATAAAATATAAGCATGCATTTTGGCGACATTCCATAATGTGAATTTACCTCCGCATGAAAATGTCATGCAAGACCATATAAGAAATAATCATATATGACTTTTTTGGCATATATGAACAAATATTAACATATATTGAAACTTATGTGGGATTTGAAGCAAGTCTAATACAATAATAAGTGAACGAAAATATATGATACCATACATGTATAATATCTTGTTATATAGTTTCCCCTATATTTAGTGTCATATTGTCGATGGTCGATGCCACAGAAGAATATATGGCATGGGTGTCTAACATACCGCCCGCGGGCCGGCTCCAGCCCGCGGAGGTGGTTCATCCGACCCGCAGTCTGTTTTTGAAATTTCCGCTTGGATTTCCTATTAGCACAAATTTCGGTGAAAAATTATGGGTGCTGTCCGCAGGCATCTGCAGAGTAAGGAATGCGGCCCGCCGACTGATTGGAGTTTGACGCCCTTGCTACGTGACAACATATGTGATATACGAAGGCAAGGGTTATTTCTTCAAGGGTCAAGCCATCGGAACGAATTTTTTATTGCACTATCCGTTAATGTTCATTTCAGGATGTGCAACATGAAAATTAGGCTTCATGATACCTCCTCCAGTACGGCAGTCATATTATGTCATCGGGACTTGCCAATTGATTGATATCTGCCACCACCCCATTCACGGCCATGTCCATGTGGTTGTCGAGTGGCTAGAAATGGTGGTCTTTCAACTGTGGAATCAGGTCAAATAGGAAGGAGTCAAATGGGGTCAAATTGAAGAGTATGGGAGATATTCAATGACCTCCCAGCCCCATCCAACATGGAGCATGCCCACAGCACTTGTCAAATGGCATGTCACATTTTAATGGAGAATGAGAGGGCCTTGTCATTTACCCATTTCATAGTCATTTGTCATGACAATTAGCGATTGTTGATGGCATAATGCAGTTGTCACTGTAGAGAAACTCGGTATCGAAAGTCTCGTGTCTCAATATGAAGGTTTCTAATGGGTTAGTATCCAATCTAGCACGATACTGATGCAATGAAAATCATGAAGTCTGGCATGGGCTTCGTATTTACAATGGAATATAGCTTGCGCAAAATTGTTGATCGATAGGTTCCATTATGACTGTCCTGATGGCATGACACGGTTGTTACCCAGAAGGAACTCTGCCATGTACCTCATCGGAAACTACTTCGAAAGTTACACATCCGTAGGCCTTCGTGTAAAATGTCACTGCTGCGACAAAAATGTATCATGATGACTTCCGGAATCACCCTCATCCAGTACATGACAACCTCAAGCCACGTTCATCAGCAAGCATGGAACTTGTCTGTAGATTCTTACAATATTCCACAGGTAATGCCATCAGCCTGTTATACTGGAAATCATGTACTTGAATATATGATGCACCATTCGATCCGTCCTGTATGAATATATACGTGGTGATACATGGGAAAGCCGAAGGGATTGTATGGCAAATGCACGTCCATGTATGACCACATAAAATCATGCTGCCCCCACATTTGACATTTTCACGTGGATTGACACTATTTTACCACCGATGAGGATGAGTACTTTGATATCTCGATTACAAGACGATTACGATTGATATCCGGAAGCATGCAATACGGGGTCGATATCGATATCCGAGCAAAGGAATTTTATTGGCTTGGTTTGGATTTCCCGTTTTATCAGCGGGAGACTCATAGGATAATGTGCCATCTTGAACATCATTGAGATAATGCGGCAACTGGTAACGCATCCTAGCAGGGAGTCGGAAATGCATCATTTAGCCCGGGAGTTGATGAGAAAAAGAGGGGAAGCAAGAAATGCATGAATGCCTTAGATGACGCGCATGAGAAATGAGATCGAGGGGAGGAAATGGCTTTACTGAGCAGCCATGGTTTCCATGACAACCTCAAATCTTTCCCCATACTTGGCTTTTTTGCTCTCTAATCTCAGTCCAGCTTCTACGTCGAAGGCGCGAACGAAGTTGCAGTACTTTGTGGTAATTACCAATGAGATTGTCATTAAGCCATAATGGGATTGGAAAATAGGTTCCTCCTCTCCTGTTTCCTCCATTTCTTCACTCATTTAATTCATTTTTATGCATCCGATGAAGTATTCCTCTCTAGTTCTTCATTGTCACTCTCAATCACAGCTATAAACAACTCTGCTACTTGATAATCACAAGGAAATTTTTCAATGGAAGAGGTGTTGTTCAGGTGTCGGTAGAAAACTATGAACCCTCTAAAACATAGAGCAGTGATTCCCAACATTTTCTGACTTGTGGCACACAATAGGACACTAAAAACCTTAATGGCGCATCTAACCTTGGATGGGACGCTTGAGGAAACAAGGGAGTTGTGGGTTGAGCTTGGTCAGCCAAAAATAGACCCTGGCGTAAGAATGAACAGAGTACCCACAGCCGTACTGAAACAAGTTCTGATATTTTCTTGCGAATTCTCACACCTCACGGCTCACCTGAGCCTTACTCACGGAACACTAAATTGCCGTAGTACAGCGGTTCCCAAACTGTGGATCGCGACAAATTTCCATGATGAAAAATTGCATATCTGCTTATGTCAATTCCGGGTAAATGAGTTTGGACGGCTCTTACACACCTTCACCTGCTGGTCTCTTCCGGTTCTCCTTCCTCCTTCCTCTGAATTCAAGGTCAATATTTCATTGATTTTTGCGCGCGCGCGCGCGTGTGTGTGTGTGAAGTGGTCGAGCCGCTTGCCCTCTCCCTGTCATGTCCTTCAATAGTGTTATTTAAATTTGTTAGCGTAGTGCTGGAACGAGTCCCCAGTAGCACATAACATTGAATTAACATCGAATAAGCATTAAATCAACGTTTGGCGTTCATTCTGACGTTGAATTAGCATTTAATCAATGTCGACTCAATGTTATGAGGTACTGGGGGTGGTGACGGTGAACGGAGTACTGCTGTTCTTTCTCAAACGACTGTGCACTCTTCACAGTGAAGGAAAATAAGTTGGCAAATAGAAAGTGCCGCTGTTGAAGTTCTGAAGTTGGGATTTACCATCAAAGCTGTCAGCAGCCAAAATATGTAATTTTTTTTTTAAGCACTCGCAGCCGAATCAATGAATCCGTCCAAAATAAAAGGCACCAGGCAGCAAGACATCCCGATCTTGTCAACAAGCCTGTTATTTTGAGCGTGTTCAGGATCGTCAGCGTCAGAAACTTTTCATGAATAAGACTAATCACCATACCAGAGAAAACTTTGAAAACATCTTTTCTTGCTTCGCTTGGGATCACAAAAAGCAAAAAAAAAGCATTGCGGAGGTCCGAATGAATCGACCGATGCCGCCAAATTGTCTCAATTTATGGTATATGTGCGCTTTCCGTTTGATGGCAAGTTCGTGGAAAGTGTCCTCTTTATCAAGGAAGCATTCACTTGCACCACTGGTGAAGCCATTTTTGAAATCCTGGATGGTTTCATAATGGCTGAACATCTTGAATGGAAAAACTGCGTGTCCATACGCACTGATGGCGCAGCCCCTATGACAGGAAGGAGAAGCGGTTTTCATCTCGCTTGCCAAGCAAGTGAACCCTTCCATTGTCATCAATCATTGCAATCTTCTCAGAGAGACAATCGCATTATAAAAAAATGAAGGTCGATTAGTTTTCTTCATGTAATAACTAGGGGAAGCCAACAAAACACGAAAAAATTTTCCGTCCGATTATTACATTATCCGATAGTCCGATTATCACGTTTCTTAGAGTCCATAATTGGCCAGCCCAGGGGGCGATCACATTGTTTCACCCATCTCTGAATCTACTTGCTTTCAAGGGTCAAGTCATGGTAGGAATTAATCTTCAATGACAAAAAACGGTGTATAGGTCCCACCGAAATGCGACACGCCATAGTCGTGGGTGTTGCAACTTGACTCGAACGACCCCGCTCTGAGTCGAACGGACGTGCTCCAAGACTCGAACGTGGAATTCCTCCCTCTCACCCCGTAATCTGTACAGCCAGCCGCAATAACCCTTTTGATTAATGTCTGCCGGATCTATTCACATGTTCTATGACCAGCCGTTGCAATGACAAGTTTAATTAGGGTTCCATTATAAATAGTTCTTGAATAACTGGTTTATCAAGATCGGAGGTTAGTTGGTGGCACTAAATATTCACCACCCTGTAGAATTTTACCTACTGGCCTGAAATGGGATATTTTCGGGTTTTGGGGCTGGGGTCTTTTGGGCCTGTATACCAAATTTAATACAAATCGGAGGGTCGGACGTGAATTTGCAACTTTTTGGATGACATTTCATGGAATGACAAATGTGGACTGGCGTATGCCGCAATAGCACAGCAACTTTAGATCTCTAATATTTTTGTATTATCATGTTTTCGCAGTCGCCTGCTAGCAGATTAAATAAGCTGGGGATATCCGTAAATGATAGTAATTAAAGTCATTAAAGTCATTGAAGATAAACATCTTCTAAAGACAGACATCTTCAAAAGACTAGTCTTCTAAAGAGAAGCTGTGAAGTCCGCTGCTGGGAAGCCGCACGCTGATTCGTTCCGAGCCACTCTCGTACATGCACAAACCAATCGAACGTACTGTTCAACTCTTGTCGCATCAACCTGCGAATTTGAAAGGTTAAACCAAACATGCGTTCGGGTCTATGTCTTACGAAATTATCAGTCCGAACTGGAGGGTATATTTTCCTACCATTAATATATTCCTGAAGAAACTCCTACACTAAATTGTGGTTGAACCCCTAGTTCTATAGAACGATTTTCATGGAGGACAATTGAAACACGATTGCTTCATATCCAATAAGTGAGAGCGCTCAGATTTCATGCTTGTACTTACTCTCACGATAGAAATCTTGTGGGAAATTAGCACTACGGGATGTTTCATAAAATAGAGCAACTATTGGGAGTTGAATTCAATCACCAGAGAGCAAGTCCAACAAGTAGCCGATACTTTTAGCTTAAGTGTTGGAGTCAAGTTGCGCATTCCTGAAGCGTTCGAGTTTCGTTGGTTACCCCTACTTTGAGAATGCCTCTTTCTGGATGGCGGTAGGTCGCGAAATTTTTTGAAGTAGACAAGTGGGTCGCGATTCAAAGGAGTCTGGAAAAGCATGGTGAAAATTTCCGGAAAAATCGTTGATTGCAAAAATTTATCCACGAGTACGAACGCTTGAAATGTCATTGGCAGCCTCACCATACCCAACGAAGACAGCTCAAACCTGACCTCTCACCAAATTACCGAATAACGAACGTTCTTCATCTTGAGATTGATTCACTTCTGAGTAACCAACTGGGATTGAACTGGGACTCCTCGACCTGACTTACAGACACGTTTTTCTTGGGATATGCCTATCCAAAAACTTATTTGCAGTAATTATGGAAATAACGTTGCATTAAATGAATTGCACTGCTTTTGCGCCTCTTTCCAAACAGAGGGTAAGGTTACTCAGAAAAATGTGCATTACAGATCTTTGACTGAAGACATAAAAGAACGATTGTGTATAGGGAAAGATTGGAAGGTGACGTTTTCATGATATGGTCTGTCAAGAAGCTGTCTTCAATAATACCCGGACAATACAAAAAGGAAACAGATGTGGTGCAACTAGCTATCTTGGTTTGGTTGTGCCGTGATCCTAACAAAAGAAAGAAGATGGATAGAAGTCGGGAAAGGAAGAGGAAAAGAAAAAGAAAAGGAAAGAAAAGAAGAGGGTGAGTCAGGTTAGGGAATGGCGACGGAATGCCTTTGACGAGTTCATTCCTCGTGTTCCAGGGTGTGTACACGCACCTGCAACCTGGTCTTCTTGGTCTCCCTCTTCTTTTAGACTCGAGCCGTGGAGTTGGTCGGAGGGGCCAAGTTTTCTAGGAATTCTTGGACTCTATCCATAGAGAGGATCCCAGCCAAGACCTCAGCTCATCAACACACAATTGGTGATCCCAACTCACTCCCTCCTACCCTTAAAATGCCTCCCTCTCACCTCTCCTTCTCTACTCTACATTAGAGCCGGTTTACACAAAGAAGAACGTGCAAGCTCTCTCTTGCCATGTTGCGCGTGTAGACACTAGCATTCGAATTTAATCCATGCAAGGCCTTGCCAGGTACAGAGGGTTTCTTAGTTTCTTACATTCTTACAGCCTTACAGTAAATAAGAATGTATGTAATGTTATGATAATATCGCCGTTTGCTTGCTTGTTTGTCTGAGAATTTCTCACCTGTTGATCAGATTCGAATGAATCATTGGAAAGCTTGAACGTCCAGAAAACGCACATCTTGAACTTGAGCTTGAACACATATTTGATTTTCGGCGCGTTGCGACTAAATCTGAAGGAGCTACTATCGACTTACGGTCACAAAGCTCGCATCAGATCGGTATCGTGGCACTTGGCTCTCGTAACGGGCCACTAGGGTTCGAAACCTACCGAGTCCTACGATTGCTTTTTGCCAAATGCGGACCCCGGCGTGTTCAGAAAGCCTATGAGTGCTTCCTACACCCTTCTCGAAATGTGGAAGTCAAAGAACCCCAGTGCTGAAGGCCAAATCCGAGAAGCGGTTCCACCAAATAACCACGAGAGGTAAATTGAATCTCACAAACTTGGGCAACTCGTGATATTCAACAATTGTAGATCGTCGATGAAGATAGCGTAAGCCCGGCCCTGCCACGCCTCCATTGACAACCTACTACTGCTGAATATCATGAGCCGCCAGTGCTCACAGGGTTAGAGATTACTTGGCTCTTGGGTGAAGGTTAACGTGGGGTGGAAGTGAGATAGGAGAGAGGGTTAGCTGCAATTCTAGAACGAAGGTGCATAAATGGCCATTGAGCCTCTTACGCCTGGTAATAATCGTATCGCCGTGCATCTTACCGCAAGCACTGAGGCACTAGCGAATATTCACACCGGCAGGAACAGAGGTCGCGAGGATCGCGAGTTTATTTGCTAACTTCCTGATTTGCTTTAAAATAAACTACTGATGGAGCTTTTAGTGATGAAATGCCTCAAGTCCAGTAAGAGCAGTTGTTACAACAATAGGAACAGTGGAGAGAGTAAGCAGGAACGGGTGCGGACGATATTCTCAGTTTATCGTGTGTGTGTGAAGGGGAGCATGAGGGGGGGGGGGGGAAGACTCAGTTTCCTTGGGAAAGAAAAGGATCAAGAGCTCAGGTTGGGCATGTACAGTCCAGTCATTTGTTTGGGTACTGCCTAGTGAGCTACAAAGACGGTTACTTCGAGCAGTCGTGTGGCGACTTTCCTGCTATATGATCGGGAGACATCTATTTGAGGAATTGTAGACTGGTTCTTACTTTCTAATCCTGAGGATGAAAGGGAGAGAAATCGACAGGGTCGATTCGCGGACATGTCATAGGATTATGCTAGAAAGGGAGTCAAAGCTCCTTCTTGGGGCTTCTGCCTTCATATAGATTCCGCCTTTCGAGTTCCCGCGGTCAATAATGGAGGGCATTAGAGAGGATAGGTGACATCGGCACGCAAGCATGGCTCCCTTCTTCCCTATAACAATATGATAGACTTGACATGTGTGGCCCATTTCGCACGAAACAGTCGTATCAGACTCCTTCCATCCAAGAAATAACCTCTAATTTCGTCTGTATCTCATTTCTTCTTCATGATATCCTTCAATTCTTCGTGCACTACTCGAGAATCGATGTCACATTTTATCAAGATCACCGTTCATGACTGCAGAGAATGCTATGCCCGATGCGAGTTATCACTGATTAAAAGCAATGTTGGAAAGTCGCTCGAAAGGCTTTTTAATTCTACATCGAAGTCGAACTCGTTTTCGTTCTTCGAGCATTTACATGATGTTTCCATTAGGGAAAGACGGAAAAAATATGCCTGGAATTGCCCAGTATGTACGGCTTCGACTCCGAATCGTTAGATGCTTTGAAAGAACACGATATTCATACGAGTTGAAGGCAGAAACTTCTTTACAGGGAGCGATATAGGTTAACATCAGGATACAGATGACATATTTATCGGTTCCATTGGCATTACTTTTAGCTTGTTAGTTAGGGGTGGTGGAAGACCACTACGCATAGGTATACAGTATATCTACCATTCGGTGGCATTCACATGGTTACAGGAGAATGCTGGTGCTCCCGCTAGCCTTTCCATCGAAACGAGCGTGAGATGAGAAGAAATAAATTAACGTGGAAGCATCTGTGGTAGACGGCAGTCGTGCTCCATTTTCGTACACCCCTCCTCTTCTAGACTGTAATCTCATTTTCCCATGAATCTCGTTTGCAATCGGCGAGTCGCCGTGGGTTCGTCATGTAAAGAGAAGCTCCTCGTTCAGGAATGCATATTGCTCGATGTGTACTGAGGGTTCCAACTCGAACGGAATCGGAGATTAATCGTTCGGACGCGAAGGTTTGATTCGGTATTTTTGCGATTTTCAATGCTGATTCTACGGTTTTGACCCTCCCTCCCCGGGAATGTCAGGCAGGAAGGCCATGGAGAAGTAAAAAAAACACTTACTCGGTTTCGTTGTCTTCAAAGATGAGCTCCCCGGAAATATGTTCGTAATCCTTGCCAGGTTTGGCCGTACCTTCGATGGTCTTGTACGGAACGGAGACATGTCCTCGAGCTCCACTCCATCGGAGAACTTTCAGCCTGTACGTCCCCACACTTTCAACTATTTCCACGTCCTTTTCGGCCAGGTTGAAGATCCCACAATGATCATCGTCGAGGATCATGACAGTGGCCAGGGCAGGGGCTGTCAATTGGGCCGGGACCGTTCCTCGACCCGTATTCCAATTGAAGCCGTTCAACAATTGTCCATCCGGGCCAGTCACACGGAGATTACTCAATCGGATGTAAAAATGTTCGTCCTCTTCGAAGACGTCATCGTCGATGACAGTCAAGGAGATGCTTTTCCGCTTCTCCCCGGGCCGGAAGATCAAGGTCCCCTCCGTGTAATCGTAGTCGGAGCCGGCATTCGCCGTCCCGTCCTCGGTCCGATAGTCGACCAAGATGGTCAAGTTCGGATCTCCCCCTTCCCTGGCGATCGTGGCCTGGAACGTCCCCACGTTCTCCATCACCGTGTAATGACCCGGGTCGAAGAAGATCTTCGCCACTCGTCTATCTTCCTCTTCGAACTCTTTGTCCTCTCTTTCTTGTTTGGTTCCGACAGCGTCTATTTGGGCCTTCTCGTGGGCCTTCCTCATCAGGTTCCCTCCACCCGTCAATTTCCTCGTCGCTTGGATCCGGTAATAGGCACGGGATTTCGGACCCCGATTCAGGACTTCCTCCCTGGCCATGGCTTCCAGGCTCTCCATGCCTTCATTCGGATGCTTCTGTCTCAATTCCTTCAGGATGGAGATAAACTCTCGTCGATGCTCCTCAAACTGTCGAATATTCTCGTCCGTATATTCCTCTTCGAAGTGCTTGAACTCGACGTGGTTTGCCTCCTTGGCCATCTCCAAATCGGATGCTTCATGCTCCACGACGACCCCGCGCCGATTCAGCCGATAGTCCTTGCTCAGGTATTTATAAATGAGAAGACGGCGATCAGCAATGTAGGCAGAGACGACGGTGGCTGGGAAGAAAAGGAACGTGACCAGGCCTTCCCACACTTCCACCACTCCATGTGAGGACCACGTGAGGATGAGATAGAGCCAGATGTACGCAAACACAGACCAAGTGGCGGTAATGAAGAAGACGCGAAGATGCTTGATCTTCCGCGTCTCGTTCGATGGGATCACGTGAACACAGATAGCGATGATGATGAAGAGATTGAAGGCCGCACTTCCCACGATCGTCCCAGGACCTAATTCTCCGGCCTCGAAATTCTTCGCATAGACTTCGATGATGGAGAGAAGGATTTCTGGCGCAGAGGAACCCAAGGCCATCAAGGTCAGGTTGGCCACCGTCTCGTTCCACACGCGGACCACGATGATCTGCTTCTCACCGTTGGCACGTTTCACGGTTACTTCTTTTTCTTGCGACGTTATCACCTCGATGGAAGCCATGAATCGGTCCGCAATGATGGACACGCCAATGAAGAGGTAGGAAAGGGATAAGAAATAAATGATAGCCCGGGCGACTCGATCGCCCGTGCTGAGGTTCTCAAATGGTGTCCAGATGGGGATAAGAAGACCATCTTGACACGTGGTCGAATTGTCATCTTCCTCGGCAGACGTTGCTGTGACCTGAAGGCAGGCCACGAGGACCAGCACTAGGATCCCCTTCATCGTGTCTCCCTCTTCGCTTATTCAAGAATCATCTCTGGCTTGGACCCAAAGCGGCAGCCGCCATCTGGGATTTCCTTCTCCTCCTCCTTCGTCTACAAGGCACACAGAGGGGAAAATAGATCATGTCATTCCGTTCCAAGGACGTAACGAGATGGTTCCAAAGTAAATCCCGTCATGGCCTACGTCTATACAGTCATTTCTCATCTCTCACCTCTGCCCCTTCCTCTTATTGCAAAATGACCTCACTCTCTACTCATTGGTTTCCAGATTTCTTCTGCTTCCTCGCGGAATTGCAGATCAAATTGCAGATCAAATGAACACATTATTCAAGAAGCACTCAAGCAAAAGAAAAAAAGATTTTCGATCAGCTTTGGAAGACCGAAGGGAGACATTAATCATGCGAGAGTTGTATGAAGATGGCTCCTTTCAGGATGATTTCCTTCGGGATTCCTAGAAGCGGAAATTTGTTGCGTGATCCCATTCCGTCCCCACAAATCATGATTCCTTCTTGACCAACTCAAAGACATATTGTCAGCATAGACGGCATCACGCAACTCTTTTTTTTCTCCCTCCCTCTCTCCGCAGAACTTTTACGTCCTATCCATCTTCGAAAATCCCACAACGGGAGTCGCTCCCATTTTGCTCTTCATCATGTACATGCATCATTCAAGTCTCACCAATTGACATAATATGCCCGCAGCTCACAAGGAAGAGGTGGAAAAAGGAGAAGCCGAGAAAGAGTGTCATTGCTATCGTACCCTCATTTCGTCATGGCCAATGCTTTAAAGCCGCTTAGATGCTGACGCATTGAAATCGAAAGTGAAGTGCTGAAAAGGTGATACACGGCATTGTATGGGGGAGCCTGGATGCGCATGAGGCCACTTTCTCAAATCTAGTGTAAAACTCGTTCATGCAGAGAGATGCGGAAGAGGCTCGATGGGAGGCCTCGTTGATTTGTTTGCTATACTCAGCGGGGGGCTCCTTCCACCGTCTTCCCCGGAAGAAAGCAAAGCACTAGGCGTCAAATTTTATATACAGTGACGCTCACGTTCTACTTCCTGACGCCTCATCTTCATGCAAATTCTCCCTGAGCATATCCATAAGGGCAATTTTCGGGACGTCGTAAGCTAGTGATCAATATTAAGCAGTTGTTGAAATAGTTTTTTTCGTAGTATCGAGCAAACTTTGAAAATACAGAGGATGATTTTATGCAGGGGGTAGGAAAATCATTGTTAAGTACCTTATTGCTAAGGTTGATGAGGCTTCAATGGTCGTTTGACAGTAAGACGTAGATGACGTCGCTTCACGTATTCCCACCTGGCGAAGATGGAAGCACCCGTGAGCGTTGCTTAAGACTGCATGGGTACAAAGGTAGAGCTACGAGCGGTGTTGGAATTTCTTGTGATGAAAGGCATCAGAACGCCAAGCACTTTTCGCGTCTGGCACTGCATCGAATATACGCTCGTAGGATGCCATACCTAACCGTGTACCTCTGGGTTACTATTGTCAATGCTGTGCGTGAACGTCTACAGGATTTCTCAAGCCATCGACAAACGCCCTCAACCCCAGAGAACGTCGTGTCGGTGGACCACCTGATTTGAGCTCTGAGAGCAAGCAATTTTAGTCTAACAAATGAGACTGCCACCTCCAATTGCTGAAATCCACCAACGCAACATTCTCTGGAATCGAGGAAGTTTGCAGATGGCTAGTCCTTGAGAGATCCTCTAGGTATTCACATACAGCATCAGCAAGTGCCACCCGATATTAAATAGCTTTTTCTGAAAGGGCATCCTCCACCTGACCCACAAACGCCGAACAATGACTTCTTTACGCCTTCCTTCATGATAAATTCCAATATTGTTCGCTGCATTTCTGTCTCTGAGTGGTTGCTCGACTGATGAGCAGTCCCAGGCAGGGTGCCTCGATCTTCGTCAAGTGCGAGTACGTCATGAAAGGTGATGTCATCGATGTCATGTCAAACGGATATTGCAGCCGCAACAACCTCGACCCTCATGCAGTTTGCACTGTCTTTCGTACAATTTTGGATTCCGTCCTAATTCCAGTTGCAATTCTGTTTGAACGGTTAACGGTCCCCTGATAACGGGAAAGTTTTGATGGAAGACGAATTATAAGTTTGTCTCTTGCCCACCTGCACTTCACTGCTCATTTCGTCGCATTTTACTACTCGAAGAGAGTGACAACGCAGCCGTCGATTTCATGGTCATTTTCTCATCACCACTTCCACTCCTACTTGCGGTTCGACTTTCATTAAATCGATCTGTAGACGTTAATGTTTGTAAATCCGTTGCGTCTAAGTCATCGAACTGGCAGGAAGTGTCTTCACTTTGCATAATTTTACACTTTCTCTTCTGTAACTGGATTATGACCAGCGTACCGCATCCACATTTGCGCACTGGGGTTCGATTGATGAGAGCGCAATTTCAATTACGTCAGCCAACTTCATGGTTCCATGGAATTGCATTTCTAATCTTCAGCGGTGTGGAAGTGAGATTCTTGCTCGATATTAATGACTATTGTTCCCTGTCACTGGCCTGTGTATCTTGTGGGTAAGAGCGAATAAATCGGGATGGGACACATTATTTCCCCACTTCACATCGGGTATATTAAAGTAGCAGTATTGCCTCGGGGCGACGAGCAAGAGATGTTTGCGAAATAACCTCCCTTTGCTCCCATCGAAACCATAGAAGTAAACGCGTTCCTGTCATGATGTATGTTATATCTATTTTTATCGCGTGACACCTGCTCTTCCGTATCGATATCATATCTCTCAACGTTGCCACTCTCCGTCGCAATGGACAAGTGCTCATGTCTCAGGTCACGAGGCTAAATGAGTGGGGAGATGCGAAGGATCCAGAGGACCTCCTCAAGAAGCTTCGAACCGTCTTGAAAGTCAAGATTCGAGCCGGAATTGGAGCATATTGGATCATTGAAGGCAGCGAGGGATCTCCGAATCCGCACAACTATCAAATGTTACTCGGGAAGTAAAATGTTCGATTCCATCGGAGGCCTGCAGACAGTCAGTTGAAAATAGTTCTTCGACTAGCTCTATTTCGCGCTCATTGTATGGTAAGGATCAGGGCTTCTATAATTATAATAATAATAAAATAATAAAATATTTACTTTCAACAGAAAAGCTCAACTCTTTTCTGATTTCCTACTGCTACTGAACCTGACATCACGGGTAAGACTCGCGAATGAAGTACCATGGCACATTCCTTGCTTTCGATTGGCCTTATAATCGAAGTGAAACTGACGACTGAAAACAATTCTGTAAATCGACATGACCTCCTAGAGCTGACAGAAAGGCGGGCTACGAGTACAATAACTTGCGGGGTGAGAACTGTACCTTGGGTTTGGGTACACTCGGTCACTTATTTCATATACCGGTGCAGTTCTTGCTTACTATGGCGAATCGGCAGATGTTTAGAAACCGTTTTGATGCCATCAACAGCTTTCAAGAGGCGTAACGGCCATTTACTGTGTATATCCCTATTATATTGCCCTGGAGTGCACGCAGGCCTACTGGGCAGTACTTATGCTAGAGACTGGAAACTTGGTTGATTTCCCCCCCCCCCCCCTTGAAGAACGTCGATGTTCAGAGACTTCCTTTCCATCTTCATCTCCTGTCTCCTCCTATCGATCTCTCCCCGGTTGGTTAATTTCTCCTTCTCAAGTGCCGGCTTATGTGCAAGGGGGGGATGCACCAATTATGCGTAGAGGGGGCAGCCTGCAGGAGAGTGCTAAGCCAGTACGGATCAGATAACAAAATGTAAGACGGATGGAAAATGAACTCCTATTTCTCCGCACCTGTTCCCGGAGTTCCATCGAAGTACCCACCAAGTAAGAGAACAAATACGCTTCAAGAATGTGCCAATGAAGTCGTTGCATTTCTGGTCGAGCAACTGGACTGTCCATTTTCCGCTTTATTCCAACAATTCATTCTCACAGGCTAAGTAATATTTAGCTCTAAATCTCCTCTCCACCAATGCATTCTGTCATTTCTGTAAAATTCTTCTTCAGCTCCTTTTGGCATCTCCTTTTCTTCAAACATGACCTACGAAAAGGAGAAACCTTTGCGTGGGTCATAATTGAAAACAACGAGTGTCTCTAGGGCCACGGTTGCTCGTTATTAAGAAGCTTCGAGGCACCTGCAGCTATTTGCTTGACATGTTTTCGCTGAGATCAAGTTGATTTCCGGTAGCAAATGAGACCTGGTATGGTATCAAGAAGCCTTTAAAAGGTCTTCAAAAGCCTTTGAGCTCTTGAAGCTTGCCATGTTCCACATCGAGTCTTCATTTGAAATCAATCGGTTCAGAGATTTATAATACAACGAAATTTTCGTTCCCCTTTCCCCCCCCCCCACTTGAGCATTAGAGTATTTGGAAACATTAGAGTGTTCGCGAATTTCCTCTTTGAAGATTCACCCTGCTCCTTTGAAAAGCTAATCGATTTTATGAGCCTGCTGCGAGTTCAGGTAAAATAATTAATTAAAATCGCTCAACTCCTTTGTGTGTGGGTGTGTTTTAATGATGATTATATGCCATAATATTGGCGTCTACAAACTTATGTCGTGGTACCGCGCTTATATCGTTTTCAAAAAGAGTGATAATTTTTTTTTTAAAGCATCGTTCCACAAATCTTCAGCACTGCGTATTCCCAGTCTGCATGTTTTCCACAGCCACGAACAGGGAGCAAGGGGAGTCCAAGGGGAAAAGGCTATTGGCAAATGAAAGTCATCCTAGAATTGGAAATAAAATCTTGTATGCTATGAGAAACAGTCCATTTAAACAGTAAGGTTGGAACATTTCAAATTTACTTTTCTTCAATTCGATAGAAAAAATCTACATTTATTAGGCTCACTTGCTTTAGACGAAAAGCTACAAAAAAAAATACTAAAAGCACCAAATTAAATAAAAATTGAAGAAATTTCTTTTCAAGTTCGAACTCCTTTCCGAACCGGCACTTTGGGGTAAGCAGGA